GATCCAAACACCACCTAATATGGGACGGAAGGGTAGCAGTGTAGGCGGCGCCTCCGGCTCCGGTGGCAGCGCACGAGCGAGGGTGCTAATGAGCAAGGCTCACGTGGTGATGCCCAAGCATGTAGTTCATCAGATCATGTAATGTTAAGGTCAAGGCCACCGGTAGCGACGACGGCAAGCGACGAGCATCATGATGTTGGCACCAATTCAAATCACGCTGCTTCACCTTCAGCATATTATGTGTAACCCATAGCAATATATCTAGAGACGCGCCGTTGCGGGGGAGGCGCAAGTCATAGAACGAACAAGCGAGAGGGATCCTATGAATGTTAACACACGTCGGTTCATTGTCTTAGGTGGTGTTTGGATTTACGGACTAAATTTTAGTCCCTGCCACATCGGATGTTTGAACACTAATTTAGAGTATTAAACATAGACTACTTATAAACTAATTGTATAAATGAGAGCTAATTCGCGAGGCAAATTTTTTAATCCTAATTAATCCATAATTAGCACATGTTTACTGTAGCATCACATAGGCTAATCATGGATTAATTAGGCTCAATAGATTCGTCTCGTGAATTAGTCGAGAGTTATAAAATGGGTTTTATATCATTAGTCCACAGTTAATACTTCTAATTAGTGTCCCAAACAGTGCCTTAGACTCCGCCGCAGGCTAGCTATAGCTACAATAATGTTCCCTATCAATTTAGGGATTAAAGAAAAGAGAGTACGGTAGTTTTGAAATTTTATCCTGATTCGGAAAATGTTTCGGCACCCAAATCAGACACAACGTACACATCGTACACTGTACGCGATGGAGCCCGTCCCGTGGCTGGATATATATATATATATAAGCTAACGTGTGTTTGCTTTGCATTATTGCCCTCACACACTGTGGGCCACTCACAGCGCATAACCGTCAGTGATCAATCGATCACAACTACTACTAGACAACTTCATGCCGACAGGAATAGTACTGTACTCCTTCCATCTATTTTTTATAGTCATATTTCTAAATCTGAAAAATTTATTTTTTGATAGTCATATCTCAATCCAACAACCTATCATCTTCATGATTTTCTCGGATTTAATGCATGACTCTCCATTCTTCCATAAATAATTGGCTACATGGGCATTGAGAAATGTAAATATTAATGAATCGCTTGTTTACGAGGATTGACTAGTAGCATGTTTAAATGGATGATAAGTAGAATTACTTATCCTTCGTCTGTGTGCCAAAACGAAACATGACTATCAAAAGTAGATGGAGGGAGTATTAACTTTTCAGCTATATATATAAATCCATATTATACGGACTCAGCTACCGCTTTGCCTGGTTAATCTATTTTTCCTCATCTTTAAAAAAGACCTTTCTTAGGACACTATCATATGGCCCTCAAGCACAGGAGGAAAGAAGGCCACAAGAGAAAGCGATCCACTTTGTTTTTTTCTTTTTCAAGCGGGACCCACATTATATCATATATTCACCACCAGTCTCACGCACTTATATTGTGGAATCCATCAAAAACTAATACCATCTGCAGCTGAGCCACTAATACGGAGTAGTTCGGTAATACTCTCCATCTAATTTTGATAGTCATATTTTCAAATCTAAAAAAATTATTTTTAATAGGCATATTTCAATCCAACAACCTATCATCTTAATGACTTTCTCGGATTTAATGCGTGACTCTCCATTCTTCCACACATGATTGGCTACATGAGCATTAAAAAATGTAAATATTAATGAATCGTTTGTTTACGAGGTATGACTAGTAACATTTTTAAATGAATGATAAGTAGAATTACTTATACTTAATCTGTGTGCCAAGATGAAATATGGCTATCAAAAGTAAATGGAGGGAGTACTATACATTAAGGATACCCTTATGGCTATTAAATTAATGGTGAGGGCAAAATACTAATGTTTCTCTCATCTATGCAAAAGTAGTATTATTATGGAGTAAGAGGTAAAATGTAGGGCGGCATATATAATAACAAGATAAAATATCTTGATTTATGGACCAAGAATAGATAAGACGAACTAAAAGAACACTGTTTTAGATAAAGACAGAGAGTATCCCAAAACAAATTTAATTTTAGCCTCAATTACCTATCTAAAATAAATAAGTTTATTACTTTCGATTTCTTATACTCCCTCCGTCCCAAAAAAAAAAAGACAAACCCTGATTTCTGTGCCCAACTTTGACTGTCCGTCTTATTTAAAAAAATTATGAAAAAATTAAAAAGACAAGTCATGCATAAAATATTAATCATGTTTATGCATCTAACAACAATCAAAATACGAATTATAAAAAATTTCATATAAGACGAACAGTCAAGTTGGACACGGAAACATAGGGTTTACCTTTTTTTGACGGAGGGAGTACACCCTTGGTCCGCAAAACGAGGAGACCCCTTATTAACCCTTATTTATCTGTAAACAAGGATTATTTTGTTTTCTACCACCATGCTTTGAAAACCGAATGTAGAAGATGAAGTTGTTCTAGGATGGACTGAGTAGAAACAACAACATAAGATTTTACCTCATTTTCCGTTAACACGCTTTTCAAACTATGTAACACCAAGCTTTGTGTGAAAATTTTCTATATGTAAGTTGCTTTAAAATATCAAATATATTTTTTTTAAGTTTATAATAATTAAAACTCAACTAATCATGTGTTAATAGCTTCCTCGTTTTTGCGTGTCCACTTTTAATCTTCATCTCTGGAAGATTCAAACGAGACAGTCTTTTCTTGATGGAGGGATCAAATCTTTAAACTACCAAGATGCACTGTATAGTACTTGGGTAGGAAGAGTCGTCTATCCAAAAGCTGGGCAGCCAATACATTACTCCCTTTGTTTTTAATATATGACATTGACTATTTAAAATATGTTATATAATTTGTTTTATTAAAAAAATAAATTTATATAGTTATTATTTATTTTATTATGATTTAATTTATTGTCAAAGGTTTACTTAACTTTTTTATATTTTGTACACAAAATTTAAATAAGATAAATAGTGAAACATTTGTAAAAAATCAACGGTGTCATATAGTAAAAACGGAGATAGTATATAACTTATCTTGATTCTTTTGTTAAACATTTTAAATTTAATTAAATTTATAAAAGTTATAGCAAACTTCCAGCACAAATAGACATACTAAAAATATATTTAATGTTATATTATATATTAATTAAATTAATTTGGTATTACAGATGTTGTTAAATTTTTTTATATAAACTTGACCAAACAAAAAATTTAACTAAAAAGAATCCAAAAAGGTCCAAGCAACAGTAGCTGCGAAGAAAGAAAAGTACGAACCTACTACTTTGGCAAGATATATAAACGAAAGAGGAAGATGCGCAGAGAAAGCGACTGTACGTACTCCAATAATATGGAAAGGGGAGCTTTCTGGAGGAAAGCGAAAGGTTTTCATCACAGGTCTGGGCCTGTCCTTTTGCTGCTGGGTTTTAAGCTTTGCTATACAGGGTTCTAGGCTGCACAAACACATGGCTGTAAGAAGCTGCTGCTTGTTGCTGGATAGCTGTAGCTACTGTAAGAGCAGGTACAATAGCAGGCTATAAGCCAGCTGTAAACATATTTTAAAAAAATAAAAAAAGAGAGAGAAGAGCAGCGAGCTACAGATTTATAGCCAGCTGTAGCACGGACTCCAAGATGTAATGTGTGTATGACAAGTGGGACCATATATATATATATATATGATATGCGACGGAGAAATTTTACGGTTATTACGAAAGTACATCGAGATACCTAAATTTTATTTGATACCTTAATATACCTAGTGACTAACAGATTAGGGTAACTATTTGATACCTAAGTTTTATATTAAAAATGTAATAATACCTTTTGGTATCTTTTCAAGCATGATAAAATTATATATCCGACGTGACGAGTTGAAATAGGCCTCCAACAATCTTTTTCTCGTGAGCGCGCAAATAGATTGCACGTTAGTACATTAGAAGAAAGCAATTTTTTCGATACACAACGTAAACGGCCAGACGGCCATTGCCTGAGTGAAGAACAAAGAAGGCCTCCAGCAATCAAATTCTTCACAAGACATCCCATACATGAGTTAATAATACTACAAGCATTTATATAATACAAGAAGCAAGGTTCATAATTCATATATTTGGCGCTAGCACCGGTGATAGTCATAGTATGATCGATCCAACCACGAATCATACACTCATAAAGCTAGATACTACTAGCTAGCAACTAGCAGAGGCAGTACACGTACACACTTAATTTAACTTGGAAGCTAATCTGCATACACATGGCACTAATTAACTAACTAATATCTCATACTAAGAGCACCCGCAATGGTAAAGTAGGGTGCTCTCTATAAAACATGTACATCTCAGCAATAGACTAGATTAATAGTAAATCACCTCAATAGTATGTCTACATAGGTATCTATAGCTCTCTCATGCATTGCCTCGTTTTTCTCTATAGACTATCTCTAATCTAGTAGATAGCTTTGCTCTCTCTCTCTTCATTTAATATCTTCCAAGTAGGAAAATATGCTGACATGGATCTCTTGTAGATAGCTTATAGATAACCATTGTGGGTGCCCTTAGGCTGTGTTTGTTTCTAATGATTGGGAGCGCTCCCCAACGGCACGAAAAACGGAGCAGTTTAGTAGAGGGTGATTAATTAACGAAAAATAGATTAATATAATTTTTTAAAACAACTTTCCTTTAGAACTTTTATGTAAAATAGACACCATTTAATAGTTTGAAAAGCGTGCACGCGAAAAACGAGGGATAAGAGTTGGGAACGGCAAGAAACGAACTCAGGCTAACTCACTAAGCATAACTGTTGTATTAGGATAATTGTTAGCAAAGGTTTACAAAGCTTGAAAACTTTTATATAAATGGGAATCTATATTAACCAACAGAGGGACTAATTCAGGTCGTTGAGAGTAAGGTGGTGTTTGAATCTCCTAAAGAGTGTTTCACGCAAAACGAGGTGGTAATAATGTGTGATTAATTAAGTTTTAATTATTACAAACTTGAAAAATAATTAAGTTTTAATTATTACACATGGCACTAATTACCACCTCGTTTAAAACGAGGTGGTAATCTGCATACACATGACACGTACCTTTGCATTGGTCGATCAGAAGCTCCAGAGATCGCCGACGGCGGCGCCGGCGAGCTCCTGGCCGTTGAGGTAGTCCAGCGGCGAAACGCCGCCGCCGAGGAGGAGGAGCTCCTGGATGAACTCCCACCCGTCGCTCACCTCCTGCGCCTGCGCCGCCACGCTGCACAGTAGGCTTGTCAGCTCCACGCCAGCTGCTGCCGCCGCCGGAGTATCCACGGCTTGCGGCGGCGCCGCGGCGGCGCCAAGATCGCCACTGGTGTTGCATTTCTTTGGCCGCTTGGTGGAGCTGCAGGGCTTCGCCGGCGGCGGCGGCGGAGGGAGGTCGTCTTCGCCGGCGGCAGCGGGGAAGTTGGTCTTGGCGTTGAGGCCGTAGAGCCTGCGGGAGACGGCGTCGTAGGCGAGGGCGGCGTCGAGCGCGGTGTCGAAGGTGCCGATCCAGAAGCGGGAGCCCTTGATGACATTGTCCCGGATCTCGGCCGACCATCGCCCATACGTGCGCTGGTGGACGCCCAGGAACCCGTGCTTGCTCCTCCTCTTCTTCGCCGCCGCCGGCTTCGCCTTTGCCCCGCTGTCGCCGCGCTTGCTGGCTTTAGTGCCGGTCTGAGGCACCACCGGATTTGGGAGAGGTGATGTTCTTGCCTGAAGGTTTGTGACAGATTCAACAGCTGATGTAGTACCTGCATTTTCCATGCAAGATTATATTTCGCACAAATTTCAAATCCAAATACAAATACTGAACGAATTTTGGGGGAAAACAAGCGTGGATATGTGTTCATCAATGCAAATAAAATTCATTCAGAAACCAATTGGAGAAATACCATTTTGATCCCATCTCTTTCCAGAATACAACACACACATGCATCGATTGATTGTGTTATGGAGAACACTGAATAATTAATTTCGCAAACAATCTAATATGGATGCATGGTAACTAATGAGACTAATTATCCTCATTTTACTTGAGTTTATCATCTTCTGTTTTTTTTTTTGACAGAGTAATTCATTCATATTGATCAAGGTGACTCTGTACCTATCTGAATAGTAGAAGATCGAATCGATCCTTGATTTCATGGAGAGCAATTCATATCCTCATGCGTCACTTAACTATTTTCTCTGTTTCATATTATAAGACTTTCTAGCATTATCTACATTAATATATATGTTAATAAATCTAGACATCTATATATGAATATGCGCAATGCAAGAAAGTTGATCTTATAATATGAAATTATAATATGAAAGGAAGGAAGTAGCTATTTATTTTATACGGAGTGAAAATTGACAAGGTTTCAGCTTAAGTAAGATCGATGCCAGATTGATCATGCATGTGCACGTGTGCCTCATGCAGGATGAAATTAATCATGAAAATTGTCGGTGATCCATATTATCAGCTGTGTATAATAACCAATAGAACAAACGTCATTTCAGAATTCAAGTTGAATTTGGCATTTTGGCTAGCTAACGATGGGCTGGTGATTAAAGTCGGTAAACTGTGTGAGCTAGCTGCATTAGGAAAACTAACTGCGGTAGCTAGAAGTAAAAGGAAAATTGACTAGCAGTAGTGTGTGTAGCTGAACTCAGATTATATATTATGAGTTGTACTAGTATATTTTATATACTACAATTTTAGTTGTATAGCTAGAATGCCGTTTAGTATTTGTTTTTCTTTTCTTAAGGTAGAGAGAGCGGGTACCATGTCGGTTTGTGTTTTCTTTTTCTTTATATTTTTTAAAGATAATCAAGGAGAGGATAGTTACAATGTCGGTTTGGACTTTGGATGGCTAGCTGTATAAAAGGGTTTGGGATATTGGATATGCATGAGTTTACATATATAGTGTATCCTTTGTAACTCATAGAGCTAGCTCATGAGATCAATAAGAATACAAGTTCTTGATCTATATATATGCATAGTTTCTTGTGAAAATAAAACACCACATTGGGAAGTAATGTTTCATTTAGTTGTGTGTTGGAATGGATCTCAGAATGGAAATGATATTAACTTTGTATTTATAATGGAACTTTCAAGCTGGAACATGATATATATATATATGAAGGTGGAGGTCGTAGTTAGAAATGTCAAAGTATGCCCAACCTGAAATACTTGCTGATTTTTTTCAAAGATAGGGAGGATGGTTACAGTGTCAGTTCTCTATATAAAAGGGTTTGGGATCTTGGATATGCATGCAGTTTACATGGAGCTAAGCTCATGAGGTCAATAAACACACAAGCTCTCGATCTATGTAATTTCTTGTGAAAATAAAAATATCACATCGGGAAGTAGTAACATTATTTCATTTAGTTGCTTGGAATCGATCTCAAAATAGTCAATATTTTAGCTTTGTTTTATAGTGGAACTTTCAAGCTTCAATAAAACAATAAAATATGAAGGTGAAGATCATTATATCGTAGCAAGAAATGTCAAATGTCAAAGTACATATGCCCAACCTGAAGAAGCTATAGTACACCCTACCCAACTTAATCTAATCTGTAGAACTGTAGATCGATTCCAAATCTAATTAAAAAAAGCAAACCCATTCCATTCCCATGCATCAACTAATTAAAGATTGCTAGAAGGAGAGAATATATGCAAGAAGTTGGGCGATTTGGGATCGATGCCGCCACCAAGAAAAAAAATATATATTTGAAGCATCAGAGAAGTGATTAAAACAGCAAGTGAACACACAAGCAAACGATGTATAAAATGGCATGGAGGAGACGAGGATCAGTGCTATACCTCTAGCTCCGACGAGAGGCCGGTGCGGCGGCGAGACGACGGCGATGATCTCCACCTCCACCTCGTCGTCGTCGTCGCCGTCGTCGTCTTCCTCATCCACCATCATGCTGAACCTGAGGAACTCCTCCTCGAACTCACGGCCGTCGTACTCGTCGTCGTCGTCCTCCTCCTCCTCATTGTACTCCACCTCCTTCCCGGGGCGGTGGCCGCGCGGCGGCGCCATCTCCACCGCCACCACCGACGGCGGCGGCGGCGGCAGGTCGGCGGCGACGGTGATGGCGTGGTGATTGTCGGGGCCTCCTCCACACATGGCTGGAATTAATGGATCGATTGGATTCTCCAATGCCGGATGGAGATGTTGCAGCAGCAGCAGCAGCAACAGTAACAGTGGAGGTAGCTAGCTAGCTGAAAAAAGCAAGAGAGCTCACTCTCTCTGTCTGGCCTCTGCCGACTCAAGTGAAGAAGAGACGAGACAATGTCAATAAATAATAATGGACCAAAGCAAGCAAGGCAAAGCTTCACCGTCACAGCTGCAGATTCACAAGAGGGACACGTGATAGAGACACGTACGGTGTGTGTGGAGTAGCAAGTTGTAAGCCTATTTTCTCTGTTCTAAAATCTATCTAAAATATCAAATCACATCATATATATACACGACGACTAAGGGTGTGTTTAGTTCATGTCAAAATTAAAAGTTTGGTTGAAATTACAACGATGTAACGAAAAAGTTGAAAGTTTACGTGTGTAGAAAAGTTTCGATGTGATGGAAAAGTTGGAAGTTTGAAAAAAAATTTTGGAACAAAACTCGGCCTAAGATGCATCAGATCCCATTTAGATAGTGATATTTTGAGACGAAGGTATCATTACCTAATAGTAGCGCTACTATAGTATTCCCTTCGTTAGAAAAAAAGGAAAAACTTAGCCTATGATAAATGTGATCAATCTCTTTTAGTACAATAAATCTAGACAGATAATTGTTCAGATTTGTTATACTAGAAATAGTCACATCATCTAGTTTGAGTTTTTTTTGGACGAAAGAAGTATGTAGAGGAGAGAGGAGAGTCTTGAGATGAAAAGTGTGCTATAGATTTATAGCCATTTACAGTACAGGGCTCTAATATATTATACGTCTGAGAGATAAATCAAATATTAATGGAGTAGTATATATTTATATTAAACTATTATGTAGATAGTCGCTCTAAATATTATGTTAGTTTTTAGAGTTATTTTTAGTTAACTACTTTCTTCGTTTGAAAATAAATTAATTTATAAGGGATATGATAAATTATAATATATACTACTATTAATTAAATTTGCTCTAGTGCAAGCAGCAACGAGCCAACGCAGCAGCAGTAGCAGCACAGGGCGGAGGCAACAGACCAGACGGCACACATGGCTCAACTTGATTTGGGGGCTCGCGCACGCACACACCCCTGCACACTGTTAAGAGCACCCGTAATGGTTATCTATATGCTCTCTACAAGAGATCCATGTCATCATATTTTCCTACTTGGAAGAGATTAAATGAAGAGAGAGAGTAAAACTATCTACTAACTTAGAGATAGTCTATAGAGAAAAACGAGGCAATGGATGAGAGAGCTATTGATACCCATGTAGACATACTATTGAGGTGATTTACTATTAATCTAATCTATTGCTGAGATGTACATGTTTTATAGAGAGCACCTTACTTTACCATTGCGGGTGCTCTAATATCAGCTTTACCTTCTACTACCTCCATTTTTTTTAAGTGTAGTTACACGGCTTTCGGTTAAACGTTAGATATAAAAATTCACTACTATATTTTAAAATGAGACGAAGGGAGTACTGACAATAACAATAAGTAACCTAGCTGTAGCTTTATAGCTTGCTTTGCCATGTGCGGCCAAAACCCTGGGCGCACTCAGGCAGGCAGGACCAACAGTCCAAGGTCCCTATTAATATAGCACTAGTTCGGTATGAATTATCATGCTTTAATATATATGTAGTAACTGTTATCCATATTAATTGTCATGCTTTAATATAGTACTAGTTCGATATGAAACTAACTTGAGTGAGATTAATGACGTGTAGATTGTGGTGCCAGTATTATTATAATTTTGCTCACATAATAGCATATATATATATATACACGTTAAAATAAAATAAAATGATAACATAATTTTAAACTCTGATCTAACTCGATCCAATTGACCGATTCCTGGTACTTTGTAATTCATATCTTCATAAAACCAACGTATTAGATCGTTTAACACTAGATCTCTCTTCGTAAAGTCGGTATTGAAAGCCATACGGAATTAACACGGTAGCCTATCATCTATATTATCACCTATCATATAGAGCTTGCTTGCTTTCAAGCTAATTTTTCACTGCCAAAACCTTGACAAATTTTGACAATACCAAATTTGTTATAATAGAATTTGTACTTGTGTGTATAAAATTTAACATCAAACCAAACATCCATACAATACTAATGGAGTTGTCAAAAAAATTAAATATAATTCAATGAGGATAAATCATCTTGTGATTGAGCAATGTCTTCAGCCTGGTGGAGATCAGAGAGGAGACGTGCGATGACGGCGGACCTCGGGAGGATAGAAGGGGTAGCAGCGGAGGTCGGGGAGGAGAGGAATAAGTGGCGGATGTCGAAGAAGAGGGAGAGTAGCAGCGGAGGTTGGAGAGGAGGGGGAGTAGCGATGGAGGTCGGGTAGGAGACACATGATGGTGGTAAGCCTCGAAGTGGATGGAAGGGGCAGTAGCAATCCAAATCCACCCGCCCAACCATCCTAATCTTCTTCCCTCTTCTCCTATATATTCTATCTGACTACCTCCTTCCCCTTTCTTGAAGGGTGACGCTGATGGTCCCGATGAAGAAGGTAGCAGTGTCAGCAGCACCATTGGTGGCCTTGTGGAAGGTTGATATATGGAGCTGGACTCAACAATAGCACGATTCCATCGGCCATGCGGCATGTGGGGAAGAAGGGGAATGGTTGACGGCAGCAATAAGTAGAGGTGGACCTAGAGGTTGGTTGTTGCCTCTTCATCCTTGACCAATCGTCTTGCACCATCGCCAACCAGATATTTGCTCCCCCACCCCCTCCCTTGACTTAGCTATGTTGAAGAAATGTGGGTGAGGTTGTCAGATGTGCCTCATTTACACATAGGTTTAAAAATAGATTTAATTGTCACGTTGGATGCCATCTAATCGAAACAGTACGTAATGTATAGGAATAGAGGGGATTATTCGTCCGGTTTGAAAAGTTTGGACCTATTTAGATTACTGTAAAATGAACCTTTCCAAAATTTGGGAACGCTAAAATTTTACCATGTTGACAGTATTACCAAGCTTTGGTAGGACAAACTAAATATGATGTTATCAAAATTTCCTAAACACTACCAATGTTTGGTAACAAACTAAAAGCATCTACATGCTTATCAATTTTACCAAATATGATACGGTTTAAATTGGTATCAATCTGAACGGGTCCTTCAGAGTAGTTTGTAGTTTAGTAGCTTAATTCGGATGATCGCAGTAGTTAAGGGTAAATTTAGACATTTCCCTTAATTAAATTGAACCATATATATGAGATTTACTTTGTTGTGTTTGTCTCTGTTTCCTCGACAGAAGGTACGTACGGTTGATGCAGCAACAGCAGCAGCTGCTGGCGCGGCACGTGACATTAATCTGCACCCATCGTGATTAACAACCTGTTGATCCGTACATCTCCCTTTCTGTCCCAATCGTACACACAGTAATTAATTAAGCACACTGCAAGTTGTACAAGTGGCCATCAAAGGGAAATGACCCGTGAAGGGCACCTCGCCAAAAAACAGGAATCGATACTGTAAACAACGACCCTGCCCAGCTGGCCTGTCTGTACATACTATATATTCAGAGATTTCATCAGACTATCAAGCTAGCCAGTGTGCCACACAAGTTACATTGTACCCCCCCCCCCCCCCATCGTCCTTGTGTGTATCTGTGTTCAATGGTTTATCGTTCATCTTATTTTAAATTTTTTTTATAATTAATGTTTTTATTATTATTAGATAATAAAATATGAATAGTATTTTATGTGTGATTTATTTTTTTTATAAATTTTTCGATTAAGACGGACAATCTAATTAATGTTGGACGCAAAAACTCGTAAATGAATTTATTTTGGGAAGAAGGGTGTATTGTACATAGTACAGTACTCCGTACTATGTTAAGATCAAGTTGAGGGTAGATGTGAGGATGAGCATGAATCTTTTTGCACGACCCTACACGCATATATGGATGATCGATCTTATCTATAGCTAGTTTTGCACACTGGAATGAAACGATCGACTAATACTGCCGCTGGTTTTGAACGGTTGGCGTGCAAACCAGGAACGAATTTCAGGGGCCGTTTGATGCATGCCAACCACACACGTTTGCCACACCTTAACAAGTAAAAATCACATTACTCACGATTTGAGTAGGAACCGGGACTAAAGAATATCTTTAGTCCTGGTTCAAAAGCCCGTGGGTACTTTTTGATCTAACCGGGACTAAAGATCATTTTTAGTCCCGATTGAAAAAGTTATTAGGGTGTGTCAGGCCCCAACCGGTTAAGCAGTATACTTTTTCATAAAAAAATATATATTACTTTAAAAATCATATTAATCGATTTTTAAAGTTTCTAGCATCAGTATGTTTTGCGTGCGGGGAAAAAAGTTTCCAAATACCCTCACACTTATAAACGAGTACACACATCCTACCCCTACGAACAATTCCGAAAATCTGGACTGGATTATTTTGATATTGATAAAGTCATTACCACCGTCTCGCAGTCCAGACCTCGAGGGTACGTCATCTTCAATAAAAAAGATAATTAGCAGTAAATGTAAGCACTCGTCCTCATGATAGATCACCTCAGATCGAGAGAGATGATAGACACGTGGGGACAGTAGAGTCAGTACTAATAGCCCGCTCTGTCAGCCCAGATAAAAAGGAAAGGTGAAAAAATCGTGGAGAGATCAATCAATGAGTAATACGATTACAGTGCCCCTTACTTTGTGGGTGGCTCGCCCGGAAGGCCAAGAGCCAAGGCCCGGAAATAGACAGACTATATGCAGAGCGTGCTGGCAGGACAGCACAAGGCCACAAGCTAGTGGAGTACTACTAGTAGTACGTCCTTGCTCTCGACAAACTGGGCATTTAACTAATACTACCTGTTTATTTTTTACTCATTTCACACATTAAACATAATAGAAAAATCAGAATACCCCTACTTTATCAAATTTTGAGGAAACTATGTTTTACTTAATCGTCTCGTTAACATGAAATAATATTTTTAGATATGTAGCATGTCTTATTAAAAAAATAAAATTTGATTGAAACCTGTTTCCTACGAATATATATTCACCTATCAAGGTTGAAATCCTACTTCCTACGAATATTATGCACACACATGTATAAGCTTTTAATATGACTTTAGTAAGATCAGAAATGTATCACTGGTTTTTGTCTTTTTAAACGTATGTTACTGAGCATATTCATAAGAAAAAATTCATGGACAAGATAACGAACAAAAGTAGTCATAGTTCTTTTCGTGCAGGGCTTAG